ATGTTCCAGGAAGTTGCCTGCCCCTTGAAGTGAGGGAGTGTAATGTAGATGTCCCCTTTACAGTTTAGTGATAGCTGTCTCTCAATTCACTACCCTCCAACCCTTATAACCATTAGGCAAACTCCTTTTTGAATGTACTAATAACTAGTTTCTATCAACTCATAGGCAAAAAATGTTAGCAGACAGCATCTGAGGACTATAACAAAGACATTTCCACTTTGTTCTAATCTCCTGCATGATGACCTTGCCCGTATTTTAAAGGTGCATTGTTCTGTGACTTTCTTCTGTTGTGTCACTGTAAAAAAACCTCTAGAAAATTGTTACAGAATGTGGGAACAGCCTGAATCAATGTCACTGAGTTGTAGTCAATCCAGAAAAAACAAGCTCTGATCTCTTTCAAGTTACAAGAGTTTATGAATTGAGAACAATCATTGTTCCAAGACTTGTCCTATTGTCTGACTATTTAAAAAACAATAGCTGAGAATGACCTCAAGTGGACAGTTGTGAACATTTTCAGAATGTCCTGATGATTTAATGAATCTAAGTTTTACATGCTACTGAAATCTAAGTAAACCCTTAGCTTCTCTTTCTGCAAACTTGAAAATCACTGTTCTTAGACCATACAGATGAACAACATAAGATGTATCCCCTTGCTTTTTTCCTGTAAATATAATAATTACTTGTGTGTTGTGATGACTCCCTGAGTATCTTAACATAGATTTTTCCCTAAATCACAGACACTTCAGTTGAATCTGCAGATTATTCTAGGGTGACAGAAGAAGGAAGACTGACATCTCCACCTTCACACTGAATCAGTATAGTCTGTTCTTTTACCTTTGGATCATATTGCTCGTATTAAACTGTGCACACAGACATGCTAGGCATTCAAATAAAGGCAGTTGAGATTGAGGTACACCAAAATTTCCTCATCTTTCTGGACCCCCTCAAGGCTAAATAAATAAATGCTATGTGACTAACATAGCTTTAGGGTTTACAGGTGCATTAGGATTCACAGATTGATAACTACCAGACTTGCATCTTCAGAGCACTGCCTACAAGGCTCTAGTCACCAGCAATTTTTTAATATAAACCTGTGTATAACCTGTGGAGGGCCGGACCACATTCTCCATTGCTTCTAGGAACAAAGGTAGAGATTGACCTCTGTGACCTCAAAGTGTGGCGGTACACTCCTTTAGTCCTGATGCCTGGGCGGCAGAGGCAGATTGACCTCTGCAACCTCAAGGCGTGGTAGTACACGCCTTTGGTCCCGATGCCTGGGAGGCAGAGACAGGCAGACCTCTGTGAGTTCAAGGTGATGTAGCACACGCCTTTAATCCCAGCGCACATGCTTGGTAACTCTCTACCGCTGC